TGGGTAAAGGGAGATGTCGGACAGTGTAAGATATGACAAAATAATAATTTATAAATTTAAATTATCAAGGGTTCATGAGGGGAGAGGGGAGAGAAGGGGGGAAATGAGCTGATGCCAGGGGCTTAAGTGGAGAGCAAATGTTTTGAGAATGATGAGGGTAACGAATGTACAAATGTCTTTATACAATTGATGTATGTATATATTATGATTTGTATGAGCCCCTCATAAAAATTTTTTTTAAGGCTATTGGTTGAATTGTTTTCATTAAGCTTCAGATTCTTATCTTGACTTACATACTTTTGCACAGAAACCATACCATTCCCAATACTGTGATACTACTTGCCGGATCTGCAGCTCTGGGAGTGCAGGGCTCTGTCCTTAGGGTTAGAAGCAGGATAGCCTACTCTGGAACTTGGGTTGTCAGACCACCTCGGAGCTGCCCCACACCATTAGTTATGTATGTGTGCTTTTGTGTTTTTCTCTTTTTAGTCTAGTGGCAATTCCAGTATATGTGAAGCACAGCATCAGCTTTAAGGAGAGTAGCTCTTGTGGCCGATTTGATATTACAATTGGACCAAAGCAGAACATGGGAAAAACGATCGAAGGAATCACAGTGACAGTTCACATGCCGAAAGTTTTGCTGAATATGAACCTGACACCAACTCAAGGCACTTACACATTTGACCCTGTCACCAAGGTACAGCCACTTCAGATCGAGTGAGCAAGTGTTTCTGCAACCTTTATTTTGTGTTGTGGGTGGAAGGAACCGCGTAGTGGCTTCTTTAAGTCTCAAGTTCTATCAAAACCTAGAAGAGATTACTATACCACTTGCTATGAAAGGAATCATACATCTGCTACTGAGTAAATGACAACTGCTACTAAGTAAATGGCATTTGCTTCTTAACCCATTTTTATAGCATACGTTTTTCGGAGGAACTGAAAAAGATGATTTTCTTTTAACTTCCTTATTCGGTGAAAAGATTTAAGCCATTCATCTAATCCTACAGAAAAATAAATTGAGACTCAGAGGGAAGCAGTGATGGTAGTATAACGGGGAAGGGAAAAAGCTGAAGTTAGATAGCCTTAGTTAGGTTCAACCTTACCTTACTTTCTTAATAGTGCTCTGATCTTAAGCAAGTTATTGGATCTCTACAAGCATTAGTTCCTCATTTGTAAAAAGTAGATGCTCAACAAATGTTGGTTCCTCATTCTCCTTCCTATTCAAGGACACGCATAATTGGCCGAGGATCTAACAAGTAGAGAAAGTCAGTACAGATCCCTCGTTTCCAAGACACTGTCCTTCAGTTTGTACGGATATGATGTCATCACTTTGTCTTTGGACATCGTCTTTGACAAGTGCTTCAATTTTTTTTTTCCTTTCCTTTTTAAGGTACTAACATGGGATGTGGGGAAAATTACTCCACAAAAGCTCCCAAGTCTTAAAGGGCTGGTGAATTTACAGTCTGGAGCACCCAAGCCAGAAGAGAATCCAAGCCTGAACATACAGTTTAAGATCCAGCAGCTTGCTATTTCAGGTAAAGATATATCATCAACGGGACCGTGTTTAGTAGTAATGGAATTTTGCCGAGTTCAATTATTAGGAATTTAAAAGGGTGGCTAATATTCCCTCTTTAGAAAGAAAAACAGGTTATCCTTTTATATTATGCTTTGGTGCTCACCTTTCAGGTACCAACAATTTCACCCAATTTTTCTCACTCCCACCTTCATTCACGTACTATACGGGAATCCATTCATACTCAGAGAAAGTAGAATTACCCTTAAAAGATGTGAATGGTAGAAGAAACTTTACTTCCAAATGGTGAAGGGACACGTAAATATTAAGAGGTTTACTGTATAGTACCCATTGCTAAGCAAATACTGCATTCAGTAGTGTGGCCAGGAAGATAATCGTTTATTCCTTTCTTAACAGGTTTAAAGGTAAACCGCTTGGACATGTACGGGGAGAAATATAAGCCATTTAAAGGAGTCAAATATGTCACAAAAGCTGGAAAGTTCCAAGTGAGAACATGAGAAGAGGCCAAAATTCCTCACAATCAGTTTGTTTCCAAGTGTCATTACAGTATATCACTAGTAGGTACCAAGTGGGTGGGAATACATACTCTAGTTAAAGCATTTGTGTTGAGCTACACAACTCTTAACAAAGTAGCTTAGTAATCAGTGTAAAATTCTTAAGGAGCTTTAAGCTAAGGAAATTTTTCTAATGACTGCTTATTTTGTATCTTTTCATTAAGACTTTGAGCAGTGATTTCTTCTATAAGGGGTTATTAGCTGGATGCTGCACATGGTAATAGTAAAGGCAGAAGGCTATAATGATAACCTCTCTTCTAAAAGAAGTGACTGGTCTCAACCAGCAGGAGCTGTCTTATTCTGTGATGTTATGTATCAGGTACAGCCTAATAGTAAACTTGACCTTGCCCACCCCAAATTAGCATTTGTTCCAAAATAGAGGAAGATTCTTCCACCCTGTACCCCACCCTAAGAAGTTTACAGAAAACTGCCTCTTCAAAGTGTTTGCCTTATTCAGCGTTTCACTTGTGCCATTAAGCAAGCACTGTAGCAAAGGCCACCTCCACATGGCCCTGGCGGGGAACACTACTATTCCCTGTTCCACTCTCACTGTACTTGGTATTGTATTTTTTATAAATAAGGTTTTTATGTAAAATTCGGTTTCGGATTTACAGAGACCTCCGTGTAGTAAATGCCATCTTAATGTTGTACCACTGATTCAGTTGTTAAATAGCACAGTCAAAATCATTTGGGTCAGAGGTGAATGCTTCATTAAAGTAATGAAAGAGACACTACTTCTGCTTTTAGGAAGTGCCCACAAGCCCACGCATTTCAGTTCTGAAGCAAATTAAAGTAGTAAGAAACAAGCCGAAACGTTTGCCATCTTTGTGTTTAATAAAGTGTACCCCACATCATGTAAATAACCATGGTTAGCCTAAATGCCTATGCCCTGCTTTAGCAAAAGGAGAGAAATGTACCTGCCTCTCTAGTTTGTTTGTTTTTTTCTTTAAATCTTTTTGATTGTTGCTCAAGGTTTTGCATTTGCCTGTGTCCCTAGCAGGAGCTCCTTTTTCCTATTATATGGTTCTCATGGAAAACTCTTAATGGATTACAATTCAAACTCTTACATGAAGCTATTGTTATAAATTGTCACTAGAGTACTTGCTGTCTCTATTGTGTATGAAAAAGTGGCCCGTTGAGGCAGAAAAGATCCTCAGTTATTGACTAATTTGATCATGTGGCTCACTAGTCAATCAAAGGTTGCAGTATTGTTGTCACTCAACCTCAGCTTGGAAGTCACTGCCCAGTTAATTTGTCTCCTTAGACAGAGAGGAATGGAGAAAAGCTGAAGAAGAAGGGTTTATAGTTCACATTTCCTTCTTGCCCTTATTATGTTTCTTTTCCTTGTGACTCCAGTTTATTTCATTATCAGCCACGGACACCCCCTCTTACTCTCCCATTTCTGCTGTCAAAGGCTAGTGGTTGGTGCTAATGTAGTGAGTCCCACTAGACAACAGCATTCTTCTTACCTTTACTTGCCGAGAACACCCAACTTGTCTTCCATGTGATATAAAAGGCCAGTGTTTACAACTTCTAAATTTCTAGGGTAACCAATCAAGATTGGCAACTAAAACCAAACGGTTGCCGAATAGCTTAAGACTGACTACCCAGTTCATTTGCGTGCTGTTCCGTGTCTTCCTCCTCAGAGTTCTTTTTCTTTATGCAGAGTCTCTAATCTGAACCATACATACCTGGACTGTTCAGTGTTCCTCTTATGCTGTTTTCTTATATATATGATGACGATTATGTGCCAAGAGTACCTTGTCTCTAGAAATTTCTATCCCAAATAGCCTTTCCTTTTGCAATTAAATTATTGTATTTATTAATTTGGTAGAATCCAGTAATTTTTTTCTCTAGCTCTGCCTATACTGTCAATAAAAAGATAAACCAACAGGGTGTTCGTTTTTTTATTTTTTTCCCCTTTTAACTTGACACTTGATTGAGCAGATGGATGGCTCAGTGCCAGAGCAGACTGAAGGGGATCAGATCTCATTCCATATCATCTTGCAAGATATGAGGTAGTTTCAGCACTTTTAAGAACGTCCTAATCACAGTGTATTAACACCATGCAAAAGTTTCTGGCTACAGATTTTGAGCAGTATGTGATCAAAGCTACTCACTCACCCAGCCACCAGCCACCAGTAATAAAGATCCATGCATACTTACAGGAATATTTTTTGTAAGGACAGATCTCAAGCTAATCACAGAATAGCCCCTCTTATTTTTTTAAAATCAATGATACTTGTCTTTTTAAATTTTAAAAGGGAGTATATCCCAAGAGCAAATAAAGTAGATTCTCATTTTTTGTTTGTTTGCAGTGAAGGAGTTGCCATCACTTTATTCAAAGGGATCCCATCGAAGGGTTTATTCTTGAAGGGATGCCACAGAACCCATGGGGGGAAAATGCTGCTTTTATTGTCACTGGCGTCAAATGATGTGAGAGAATGTGACCAAACTTCAATATAGCAAGACAGTAGCCCCAGTATATATATATGGTATTTAGCCCCAAAAAATGTTGTAGAAGATTACTAAACTAATTCTGCAGCCTTGGATTAGACATTTCCCTTAATCTCAAACAGACTAATCTGCCTCTTTGATCGGCAGTAACAAATGCAGTCAGCAGCACTGAATATTGCTCCCAAATGATATTTGTCCTTTTTAAGGCATACAAAAGGAGTCCTGGTGTCACACTGGGTTACTCACTGGGCATTTAACCACAAAGTCAGTAGTTCGAAACCACCCGTTGATCTTGAGAGAAAGACGAGGTTTTTCTACTCCCATAAAGAGTTACAGTCTTGGAAACTCACAGGGACATTTCTACCCTGCCCCGTGGGTCGCTGTGAGTCAGAACTGACTTGACGGCAGTGAGTTTGGTTTGGTTATGTTGAGGCAGTGGTTCTCAACCTCCCTAATGCCATGACCCTTTAATACAGTTCCTTGTGCTGTGGTGACCCCCCTCAACCATAAATTGTTTTTGTTGTTACTTCATAACCGTAATTTTGCTGTTATGAATCGGGCGAACCCTGTGGAAGGGTCATTCCACCCCCAAAGGGGTCACGACCCACAGATTGAGAACCAGTTTGAGGCCTAGAAAAATCAAGGAACAATGACGCTCCATTACTACTTTAGTCAGTTCCTCCTCAAGCAAAAAGAGACTGTGTCCCCAAAAGGCATCTGTGCCCCCACCTTTCCACACTACATGGACGTGTGGCACTCCTGCACGTTGGCCGGCCAGCTCAGGGACAGTGGCCTCTGCCAATACAGCTAGGATCTCCTGCTTCCAGCCTCAGGAAAAGGAGGTGGTGGTCTACATTGGCCACTTGCTTCCTCGTGTGACCTTGGTCCCCAAAGGTGTTCTTTACTACACAGACCCTTGTTAACTAAATACAGTGCTACTGGTTTCTGTGGATTTAAACTCAACATCTTGATGAAGTAAAACGCTTTACATTTCAGACCACCAGCTAGCTCAAAATAAAGGAGAAAACTTACTAAAGATTTTGGCTAAAATAACATACCCAGCATTTGAAGGAGTATTTATACAAATGCACTTTATTGTTTCAAACAGAACAAAAGAGGCTGAAAATATTTGCATATAACAAACTGTAGTTTATAAATGTAATCTTTTAGGGGTGACATAGCTAATCATTCAGGGATTTAATTTGTTTTTTTCCTTTGTTTCAATGTATCTTGAGCACTAATATTGCAAAAGAGCACATCCGGCATAAAGTGCAAACCAGTGGCTCGAGACCCTGGAAGAACTGGGAGACATCTGATATTTCCTCTAAGTCATCTTTAGTAAAACAAAAGGTGATCTTTGGCATAGATTCATACTTAAAGGCATTCATATTGCATTTATACCAGTTAAGCAACTATACAACTATGCTGAGAACCTTGAAACTAACGTTCAGAAGTCTTGAGCGTTCAGGACCATCATAAGACAAGTTTTACACGTTTGATATTGGGCTCTAATACACATTGGGGGCAGGAGGGAAGGACATTCAGGCTAAAGGGTTCTCTTACTCGGGTTCTGGCTTTGGGAAGCTTCCAATAACATCCTTTCATGTGCTGGGAAATGCATAGCAGTGGTAAGTACAAAAAAAGAAAGAAAAATGATTTCTCGTTTTACCACATAGGAAACTTATGGCTATAATTAAACATTATACCCTTTAATCTCTCAACCAACCAGACTTGGACAGGAGATGGAAGGGGGTTAGTTATAGTTGAAAGGAAGTAGGAATTGCAGGAGTTCTCCCCAGTGGTTCATCGTGTAAATCTAGCAGTGCCAGCATTTGATCTGCAGCATCTGCTCCCCCTTAGACCCTCCATTAAACACTCTTAAAAGGTAAGCACCAATTGTTGGGACAATTTCAAAATGATAAAACGAATCTTTCAAAATTACAGATGAGCAAACACCTACATACCTTTAAAATCTCGTTTAAGAACTGGTGAGGGGAAAAGACTAAAGGATAGGAAACATGATTTGTTAAAATTAAATGCAGCATTTCAGCTCAGAAAGGAGAGCGTAGGATGTAGATAAGGCCTCAGCACAGACTGCAGGCAGTGAAGGTGTGGAGCACCCAGGAGTGCCCCACTGAGGATGGGCAAAGCCACCCCCTAGCCACTCTGCCCCTTCGGTGGGAGACAGCACCAGGACACACAGTGTGTTCTGCAGTGACCACCTTAGTAGGCCACGGCAGGGATTTCTCTAGAACAGATAGTGCCCTGGGGCATGTTGAAGACAATCATATGGTTTCCTCCTGACAATGAAATTCGGTTTTGTACAGTTGGAAACCAGAAGGGTTAAATTGGGGAAGGGCAGAAAATAAATCCAGGCCTCATGTACTGGAGATCCCCAGAGGCTACCTCCCCTGCTGCAAGGAGGCTCATTTTTGGAAATGACACATGTAATACTGCCCAAGGAAGGTAGTCGGGTTTAGTGGCAATGTGGAAAGCCCAAAACATTTTTGGAGGCACAGTGATTTCCTTTTTAACTGACTTGCCAGGGGGCCTGAGTTTTAGGTGCCCTCAAGAGGGAAATGGAGGCAGGGAATAGGAAGCAGAGAGGTTTCTCTGAGGGAACAGCCCCCTAGAGGACGGGCAGAGAAGAGTGAGTGTTCGCGCCTTAGATTCTGAGCTTATGTGAAGTCCCAATGACTAAGAAACCCAGTCGGCCTGTTGGGACAGAGTGCACAAATAAAACTGTGTTTAAGAATACAGGCTGTCTATGGAGACAGTTTGAAGATGTCCTCCGTGACAAAAGTGTAATCCCTTTCTGGATGACTGCTGGGATTAGATAATTTTCCGTGTGTTTACTACGAGTTTCTGTACCACAAATTTGGCCTGAGATCTACTGATACCAGGGAGTCTTTCTAACCCAGCGCAGGGTAAATCCAGCATCTGTTCGAATTTTGATTGAAGCTGCTTCTGCCTCTCGCACAGTCTCCTTCACAGACTGCATGAGGTTCTGGGCATTGTGAACCAGCATCTCTGTGGCCTGCCAGGGAAGAAGAGACCTCCGTTAGTCACAGTGCCCGTTGCAGCTCACTCCTCGAACAAGATGAAGCCAAGAGTGGCTGTCCTTAACCCCACTTTCACCTGGCACGCCCTGTACTTGCTTGCATCAGTGGTGACTCATCTGGATCAAAAGCAGGAACCCAAAACTAGATCCGTCACTGATTGTAGACTGCCCTCAGATGGCCTGTAGTGTGTGCGCTTTTCCTGTTCTTTAAACACTGCCTCAGCACCCCGACTTCCATTGTTACCTCTTGTCTGGAATGGTCTTCTTTCAGGTATCCCATGACTCATCCCTCACCTCCTTCAAATCTCTGCTCATGAGTTAGGTCTTGTTCACTTGATTTCAAAACTCCCCAACCCCTAGCCTTCCAAATCCTGATTCTCCCTGCATTTTTCTCCCAAAGATGTGTAATGTGTTTCCTTGGGTTTTGTTTGCTTGTTCTGTCTCCACACTTAAATGTAAAGTCCACAAGGGCTGAGAGTTTGTCAGTTTTGCTCACTGCTGTCCCCTCAGTGTTAAGGACGGCCTGGTAGCTAGGAGGTATTTCATACATATTGAATGAGTGAATGTTACAACCAATTCAACCAACCAATCCATGAAAACAAAAATTTCACACAAACTCAGAGGACTAGAATCACAGTCAGACACCACAATAAAACCGGAGGGAGCCTGGCAATTTATGAAATTAAATTGTTGTGACACACTGGCTGCTGGCAAGAAACTGGAGGTGGCAGACACGTACCTGCTCAGACTCCTCATCGCTAATGTTGGTCCGGCCCAGCATAGTGGCCTTCACTGTGGACAGGATTTTGAGCTGGGTACTTATAGTTGGGATTCGCTCACACACCTGAGGAAAAAAATCAATGTTTCCATGTTTGTCTTGCTCACAAGCTCAAGATATCAGCAACAGGATTTCACTTGTTTTCTCCCAGGGTCAGTCAGTCCCCTTGTCCAGAACTGGGAGTATCCAAAGCCTTTCCTCTGGTTAGGAATACGTTTTCCTGGATCTGTGCTGTTGCATCCCTCTGTGCTATTTCTTTGGAAACAATCTCTTCCCTTCTCCCAAATTTTTCTCACCTGCATCTTCCGTTGCCTGCCCCTGCCCCTCCACACACATGCCACCCACACATGCACACCCATCCACCCAGCCTTCTTTCCCCAGTACCTGTAAGAGGTTGGTTCTAATCCGCTTATCTGTGCACTGCTTGGCAACCTCCTTGGCCAGCCGAGTCACCTCATCTGATGCCTTGGCAATGTCCTTGGCACATTGGATCAGTGCCCGTTTGGTGCCACTGCCCCCTCTTACCAGACGAGACATTTCAGCCATCAGCAGGGCCATGCGCTTGGCTGCTGCAATGATGTCATTGCCCTAGAGAGAAGGAAAGGCTTAGTGTCACACCCAGCTCACCACACAGTCGGTTTAGGAAAGGAGACAGGGGCAGAAAGGGTGTCTGCTCCCCGAGCCTTCTGGAAGAGTGAGAAAAGGAGAAAAGGATCATTCTTAAGTCACAGGGAAGCGATGGAAAGACAGACAAGAGAGTGAGCCAGGGCCCTCACCCAGCACTGAGTGAGGGGCGGAAAAGGAAGACCTAGATAATTAGTCTGAAAGGGCGACATGTACATCCCCAGGCACAGCATCGCCAAGTTCATCACACCAAGAAATGGGAGACGGGGCCAGTGAGTTGGTTAAACAGCATGTTTTTGTTTCTGTAGGGGTGACGCTGTCGAGCTGGCCTGAGGGGGAAAATAGAGAGGCGCTTTTTCAGTTGCTAAAGTCATCAGCTTCATCCTTCACCTTGTAGTAAATAGCAGCCAACTATGAAAAGGCCCCAAAAACTAGTCTTAACCTGGGTGAGGGGAGTAAAGGCTATCTTTCTCAGATCTAGAGTACTCTAGTCTTCCCACTGCTGCCTCTGTCCTAGCAGCTTGAGAACCAAGACCAGGCCCACTGCCAGCCCCTTCGGACCGGGGAGAACTGCCCCGTGGGTTGCCGAGACTGCCCCGACTCTCCCAGGGAATGGCTGGTAGTTCTGAACTGCTGACCTTGTACTTAGCAGCCACCAGGGCTCGGTCAACATGAGAGAATGGGCTATTTTCATTTTCCACTTTATGAAAGGCCGAGAATCAATTCTTCATCTCTCAGGTAAATGAAACCTCCAATTGTTAAGAGGGGGGTTAAAAAAAAAGCTAAGAGGACATCTTAGAAGGTTATCACAGGAAAATTCAAATGAGCTAGGCCTTAAATGGAACCCCAACTCTATTGGCATTTATTTTGTATTTGACATGTTAGCTCATTAAAACCTTCAGGGAGCATACTAAAGAAATATACAACTTATGCCTTTGCAGTGCTTGTATTTTAGCTGATAACGACCAAAAATATCCATACTCAAAATCTCCTAAAAAGCTAGACCCTATTCATTTTCCCCCTCAGACTTTTATTAAAGTTCTATAAAATGCAGTGAGGCATACACAAAACCTGCCACTGTAGGATGTCTGAGAGGCCTGCACAGGCGCCGGAACATGACAGACTTGATGCTGGGGGGTGTACCGTGTGAGGCAGGAGTGAACACAAAGGCGGGAGGCGCTGTGAGCTCAGGGGATGCAGACCGAAGGTGAGTGCAGGAGGCAGAACCTTGTAAAGTGCCAGGGTTAGTTATTGCTCATCACTCTTCAAACCATTTCTTCTCGGAGCAAGCATGCTACCTTCAGAGGAAAAGACGTGAACCCCACCCCCAAACTAGCCTTGTTTCCACCCGTAAGACCAAAGCTCTGTTGCTGCCACCCTGCAGCCTTGAGCACGCTCCGTTCCCGGCCCCCACCCCGCTACCACTGGGTCACCTGCCCAAGCAGGCAGTGAAGGCCCCTTCCCTGTGGATACACATCACGGCCAGCATCTGCCACAGCCAAGTGCAGGGCAGCAAGCAGTCCTCCCCAGAGAGCCTGCCATCTGAAGCTGCTCTCACCCAGACAGATTCTGTCTCTGAGCCATGAGTGAGGTCAGCGGTGGGGGGCGGGGGCAGGCAAAGCTCAAGAGGCAAAGCCAAGTGACCTGCTGAATGGTCTATAATGGTCTCTGACCCATAAGTCATTGAGAGGCTCATCTCTGGCTTCTCAAGGGTGTTTAAGATTCCAAGAGTGGCCACAAGATTGATAAGATAACCCTTTCAAAAAGTGACTCCATCTCTCCGCAGCCCCAAACATAAATGCAATCCAATTAATCTGGCATTAGCAGTTCTATCAAACTTGTGAAGCCAGTCTTACAAAGTGCAGACAGACAGATGCCCGCCCTGCTCAGACTCACAGGACTCGCACAGACCATGAGTGATGCAATGTGTCAAGGCTGCACATGGCCGGATGCATTTCGAGCAGCCCCTACTGGGGCTGCTAATCAGTACCTTACTAGACCACTTGGTAGCTTCTCGGTGCAATGACTGAGCCGCGGCCAGAATGGGCTGGTTGACTGGCTGATTGGATGGCATTACCAGCAGCTCGGGTTCGTAATCGTCTTCCATGTCAGAGGGGATAGGGAACCCAGCGGCATCAGCAGCATCTGCCTCAGTTACAACACCTATACCCACCTCTGCGGCTGGGTTCCCCAGCTTTGTCGATGGCAGGAAGGATGAGAAACAGGGATAGTGTTAGTAAGAGCAGTAGGACTTTGGAAACTGAGCTTCAGCCACTTTCGTAACCAAAGCTGGCCTGGGACAGGAAAGAAAATGGCATACTCCCCGGGAGCCAGATGAACCAAGCTCCACAGAAAGGGTCCCAGTCAGCCTCTGAGCCTAAGACTCCTGGGATGAAGGAAGGAGAGATTAGTCCCATGGCAAAAGGTTTCTGAAGAAACGCGCCCAGGAAGCAAATAACACATTTTAAAAATACGACCACGTTTAATCTCCCAAGGGTAATCATCATGTCAGAACATTTTTAGTGGAACCAGCCAACCAAACAAAAGAAGGTCAGTAACTTTCAAAGGACTTCAGAGAGGGGAGAAAAACAAACAAACGCAGCCGCCCAAGTTGCTTTGACTAGAACAAAGCAAACACATATACGGACTGGTCACCTCTGAAGTTATCAGATGTCAATTCTTATTACCTTCAAAAGTTAAAAGTCCAAGAATTTTTAAAATGTGACATCAGCAGAAACTAGAAAAGGGACAGGAAAACCCAGTGGTCGGTAAAGAGGCCTTGACCTCTCAAGTGTCCCATAGTCACCAGCCGAGAGGAACCTCAAGAAGATACCTTTTCCACCAGCCTCTCATCTCAAAGTCAAACCACCTCGAAGGCCAGCTCCATCTCTTCAAAGCTTCCAGAGCCAGGCTTCCACGATCTTTCATTGCACCCGTTACTAGGATCCTCTCAGCTGCTTCTGGGGTACAACCTAAGTCTTCCCTGTTGGAAAATAGGGTTCTCGCTCACTCCCAACTCAGCTTATCTAGATCGAGGATTAGACAACACGTGGACCTGGAAACTGATGGTGAGGATCTTTCAAAATGAACTCAGAGGAAACAATCCCTGAGGAGTCCAAGATTGGTGTCCGGTACAAGAACAGGAACCACACGGGGAAGAGAATGAGCTTAAAACAGGGATGGAGACACTGAAAAACTGGAGATGGTGGTAGAGGGATCAGATACGGAAAAGCTAGACCTGAAAGAAAAATACTAAAAACTGCCTCAATTCGTTCAAACTACTGATATGAAGAATGGTGAGCAGTGAGCACATGTACTTTATAACAAACATCTCAGACCAAGAGAAAGTGGGAGTTTTATAGAATTTGATTTGAGATTTTATCACTAATAAAGATCTCATCCTGCTAAAATGACAATGAAGCAAGAGGATTCAGAACCAACAAGGGTTTCAGTTACAACTAAAACCTTTTCTCTAAACTGTCTCAGCCTGTGCTCATCCATGCTCTTTAGAGGCGAGGGCAGCTCACTGCTGTTAAGGTTCAGAGTCTGTCCGTCTGTCTCTGTCTCCTCTCCCACACTCCACCACCCCACATAGCTTCCAAGTTAGTAATCACCTAATGTTCCAAACCAATGTGTGTGTGCTCGCTCGCTCTCTCTCTCTCTCATGCACACACGTAATCAATCGCCTGATGCTCCAAACCAGTAGAGGCTGTCAGACATAAGGACATTTGGTCGCCAATGGTGCAATAAGATTAATTAGTAAGCCAATACCACCCACCCTAATTTACAGCCTTTTAACTGTATCTTTAAAATTTATAACTGTAATCCCAATTTCTTTGAATAAAACTTGTCATCTTCTCCCTCCTGTCCTTAGAAGCTTCTCCACAGCTCCAGGCCTACTAGGACTCTAACCAGAGCCCTAGGGATGGGTGTGCACTGTTGTCACCAATTCCACAGGTCAAGTCCAACACCAGCAAGATTTCCATTCCTTGTTAGAACCCAGGCTCAGAGCTGGGTTTAGGACAATTCAGAAAAACAGAGTTAAAAACTAAGGTCAATTCCCAGGCTGAAAACATAGATCAGCTGCATGTGCTAGAGGGCCCCGAGTTACTACTTTCAATACAAGGGCTTGAGAAAACTGAGAATGTGAAAAGAATTAGAGACAGAGCTGGTGGGAACAAAGGTATAGGGTCAAAGTAGGAACACTTTAGAAATGGGAATTATATATCACTGTAAGTTAGCAAAAATGTTTAGCTCTTACCTAGAAAAGTGACCAGTGACTTAGCCCATAATTTAGGAGAAATTAGGCAAAAGCTATTGCCGGGGTATAATTGTAGCCATATCCAAATTTTTACCATCACATTAATATTTATACTTTGAAATTTTCTGCGTTGAAGCCAGCCTAGAACCAACTGAGTTGAAAGGTAAGATGATGCTGAGAAGGGCAAACCATATGGCTTCTAAGTCACCACTTCTCTTGCTTCTGTTGAACAAAATAGAAGGAAACAGCAAACATTCATCCAACTCTGAGAGCCCAAGGAAGATGAGGTTCATGTTGGATGCTCTGATGATTAGCAATAGCAAAGCATGCAGAAATCCCAAGAAGGAGAATTCTTTTTTAAAAGACCCCTTAATGTCAGGGCAGTGGACACTACAATGGGAGAACCGTAAAGGAACTCTCTTCTCAGACCACAGACATCCGACGTTCAACCTCAGTACTGGAAGGAGGAGCCATCTAGCAGCAGAAACCTCGCTCTGAAACAAAGGTGGCACAGGAACCAGAGCAGAGAGCAGACAGATCCTTCTTCCTCGGCTATGTGTGCTGTTCTTTAATCTTTTCCGAAAGGACATCCTATCTCAACCCAAAGGGCTCCGTGCCTTACCTTGCTGGACCATTTGCGAGCTTCATCATGGAGCTGCCTGGCAGCCATCATCATTGGCTGGTTAATCACCTCCCCTGCTTTCTGCTCAGGGAATTCTTCATCCTTCTCCTCTGGTGGTGGGGGCCTAGGCGGAGGGACCTCACCTTCAGGTAGAGGTGGTTTGGGAGGCGCAAGTTCATCTGTTAGCTGGGAAAGAAAACCACCAGATTATAATAAAACCATCACCTCTAAAAATGCATCCCCCCCAAGAGCCACCAGACTCCATACGGCACTATGCACACTGAGTCACGAGGAAGCATATTTTCTTCCTTTTCCCACATGAAAAGGTAGTAGCTTTTAGTTTGGTCAGATCTCAGAAAGGCGTGCTCAGTCCTACTGGACCACAGATGCGTAGTGTTCTTTACAGAAGACTTACGGGATGGTCTGATTTTGTTAGGAAAAACGGTAGGCATGTGCCTTCTGCCTTGAGCCTCAGATTCCTTGCCTGGCAATAAAGGTAGCTAAGCAGATAGCTCTAAGATCCTCACTCTAATGTCTTAACTCCACTCATCACAAAAGAAGCTTTTCCGTAGGAATACTTATTTCCAGCACCAGCCACCACCAGGAGCTCAGGTGGAAGGGTCAAAGCAATTTTGGAGGTAGGGGAAGCATTATTCCTTCCATATGGAATAATGGCCTGATTTTGCCCTCGAATCAGCTTAGAAATGTACATCTTTGACTGTCATTAAATACGTAAAGGTAAGTCAAAGAGTAAATCCAACTGTTGTCTTCATGGGGCTATTGTCCATTTCAGTGCCTCTCCACTCCTGTACAAAGAGGCATGGTGTCTGCATCTGTAAACTCCTGCTCAGCTGTCCTCCTCCTAAACCACCCGACTACGGACGAGTATAGTCATGGGACTTGGAGACATCAAAAGACTGTAAATTACAGGTGGGGTAAAATAAAGTTTTTGTGGTTTTCTTAATAAAGTGTTACTTTTGCTGTTGTTTTTAAGTAAAAGGAAAAAAAACCTATAGAAGATTCTAATCACCTGATTATCAACTGGCAGTACCCAAAAAAAACAAAGCAAAACCCTCCCTGCCATGAGCTGTGTGGAGTCTCTCACTAGTCCTCACTAACTTCCCCCCCAAACTGGCTATTCATCAAATCCACACTTACCAGAGCCAGCTCTCAGCTCCCGCCACTCCATGCCACAGCAGGCCAACGCCGAAACCCACCTGCCCCCAACATCATGTGCGAATGCATGTGCTGTGACTGCACGAGATGTTAGATTGATAATCTCTCTCTGTCTACAAATGCAGCATCCAGTGAAAGCTCCTAACAGTTGAGGCTCCAGAACAGTTCACCTCTCTCGCTGTAGTGCCAACACCTTGTGGCTGGAGTCTCTTTGTCTCTCTCTCCCAATATACTTACCTGTAGCTGTTCAAGGTCTGGGGGAGGAGGCGGGAAGTCAGGCTCCTGAGGTTGGAAAGCTTCTCTGACCTTGGCTACAGCTCCCAGGATCCGATATCCCGAGTCCAGGAAGCTCTTTTGCAGGCCTAAACACAAGACACCTTTGCTTTCAGGTCCATGCTCTGGGGCACTGTCTGTCCAGCAGATGAACTGGTTCCATTAACAATAGCTGGATGTGAAGCTGCCAAGAAGCAGCTCAGGCACTGACTGAGGGACACAGGAGGTAAGGGCAAAGCGAATGTCCTGAGGTCTGCAAAGAGATGCTTTACCGACCAGCTGTTTTCCCATAGTACTCCAGACATCATCTTGCAGGGACAACAACAGACACTCGGGCAATCCTGGACACACATGCTGATCTGTGGGTGCCAGGGGCACCCATCACTTTTAGTGATGAGGGAGTCAGAAGACAAGCCAGCCCCCTCAGAACACTGGCAATTTCAGTTCCAGGCTCTCATCTCTCTCCTGCTCCTCTGCTCGACTTAGCTTGCAGCATGTTACGCCTGATTTGGAGCAACTGCTTTTGTGTCCTGTTACTGGAATTCAGAAAGTCACTAGTAGAAACTCCAGCTGAAAAATTGAGCATGTCCTTAGTGAGGTGACCTAGGGGATAAATAGGGCCACCCTCTTCCTACTCTTCCACAGGGACTGGATTGTACTTATAGATGAGGCTGGGGTCTCAGAACATAGAGAATTCAGATGTCAAAGTTTGGTTCCGGTTATGATCTGCTTTAGTAGTACTTGAAATCAAAATCCATTTAAACAAAACCCCGATGTGGGGTGTGGCATCTGTACAAGGCATGTAGGAGACCCACAAGTCAAGCAGAAGCCTCGAGATTTGGCAGAAATAGAGATGGTTTACAGGGAGTACAAAGCTTCTTCAGAAAAGCACAAGGAGGTATATGCCAGCTCCATAAAGAGCCAGCAAACTGCCTATGCATCTTTTGAGAGATTTCCAAAAGAATGGCCAAAAATGGCCTGAAACTATCTAGAGTCAAACAACATCAAGAAAGAACACAGAAGTTGGTCCAGAGAAACTCATTTACAAGTCTGGCAATGCAGAAAAATGGTTAACCTAGCATTCTCACTCAACGCCTCTCGTTTTTGCTCCCAGACTTTATAAGTGATGACAGTGGAGCATATATTCTCTCACCACTCTGTCAGCTTCCTGACTTAACCTCTCAGCAGAGGTGAGCCATACCATACCGGGCACTGCTTACCAGGGTCAGAAATGTTGCCCGCCACGGCCTTTGCATCCATCACCATCGGAGAGATGGTCTTGCTCAGTTCATCGGAGGCTGCTTTCACAGCCTCACGGAACTTGGGATCCTCGGAGTTCTCCACCTCCCTCTTGGCCACCAGCAGGATCCGGTTGGCCCGACGAGCAATGCTGGTTGCTCCAGCGACCAGCATCTGCGGCTGAATGTTTGCCATGGCCACTTTACACTTGTCCAGGTCTTTTTTAATGGCTTCTTCCGAAGCATCCAACAGAGATTTGGTATCGATGGCTTCGTCCACCAGCCCTGATGGAAGAACAGAAATGGAATGGGGTTTCTATGTGAGAAGGAGAGAACTTCCAAAGTCCTGCTGTCCACTCAAGGGTTCTCGGGCGAGGGAACCACCACCAGCATCCTCTCCTTCAGCCCAAAGCTCTTCGTACACAAGCAAAAGCAAACACAAATAAACAAAAGCCGAGAAAGGGCCAGATGGATTCATAGCATGACACAAACAGGACACTGGCCTTGCATCCACCCAGACAAGCAGAAGAAACAAGGATTGCGTCTGAAACCTTTACGGCGTTATCTGTGAATAACATGTCCTCCTGCCCCGTCTCCTTCCCAGCCATCTGTTGCTTGTTGGCAGCTCACTGTGGCCAAGATGAGCCACACGGAGGACTCCAGTAGCCCTGACAGCCTGTTTCTTACTTCTGTTACCTCTCTTCAGACACCTCAGGAGCTCCACTTTCATCTCTGGCTGCTAGGGTCCCCTGTCACCGCAGGCTTTGCAGAGACGCGGACGAGCCTGCGTTCCTGCTTTCTCCCCTTCCTCCCCATCCCTTCTTTCCCGAGACTGACGACTCAGAGTTGCATACTGAGTGGTTGGTTTCTTCTTTTTTTAAACAAAAAACGACGTGGTTGTTAAGTTGGAGGAAACTCTGAGACGAGTTGTATTAAATGGTAGCCATTGTGGTGCCTTGAAATGTGAACCCACTGAAAACGACAGGGACACTTACTGTGCCCGCCAACACGGCCTCCCGCCTCTGAAACCAAACTCAGCTCAAACTGGGCAGGGACATTCAAAGAGGAGATAGAGCCGGAACAATGAACATCACACTAGGAGGGCGACGTGAAAATAAAAGCGACCCAGAGAGTCTCTCTGGACAGAGTTGCAAGGCTTGAATGAGAAGCCGCCACTGCTCAGCAGCCTTAATCAGGGCCAAGTACACCGCGGAGCACATGACCACCCCTTTATCCAATTACAGCAGAGTAACACAAGCGGCCTGCTCAAGTTTCTGAGAACTCATTCCGTGTGGGTTACACAACGAGAACTTTGCATAGAACTCTACCTGTCATTTTTTCAACATTATCAATCCATTGGTTCTTCATAGTCTCAAAATGTTCACTAGCTGCTTGATTTCCAGGATTCCGAAGTAAGATGCGTGCGGCCAAGACAACCTGGCAATGACAAAACAAGCTTTAAACACCAGGGTACCCACATTCAAACGCACGCTTCAGGAAAGCTGTCTCCTGCTTTCCAGAAGGTGGCACTAGAGAGCCAAAAATCAAACTGCAGAGGTAAGTCTCCATTCAGGCTGAGCCTTCAGCAACCTGTGACACACATGTATAAACAGCACCTCAGAATGGTTTTTCAGCCCCAGTCGGACGTTAAGAAGGTAAAAACAATAACAAAATAAATGGGTATTCACCTGATACTTTAAAAAACAGCCACAAAACCAGCTTATAGTTACACCACTGTTGTCAACTCTTCCACCATTCAGAAGGATACAAAACTCACTTAAATTACTTTGTGAGCAATAAATATCAACAAAAATTCCTGTTTAGAGTTAACCAAGTGCTTTCACATTCAATTACTCACTGAATCCTAACAACTTGGTGAGAGACACAGGCCAGTTAATAGCACCACTTCCCAGATGCAAAGGCTGAGGGAAGAAATTTAGCTCCCAGTTATTAGGGGTGTGAGGAAGGAACTAACATGTATCGAGCTGATAAAATTATAGGCACGGTGTGCTCTGCATGCATCTTAATCCTCATAACAATCCATTAGGGAGGATCGTGTCCATTTTACGATGAGGAAATCATGCCTCACAGAGGAAACATACCCGGATCAGTCTCTTCCATAATTGGTGTCTTGAACTCAGTTTTCTAATCCTCTTTCAGGAACCTAAGTTTTACATTGAAATCCTATGCAAGAGGATTCATTATTTTATGGAAGTTTTTAAAAAGAAAGTTGGATGTGTGTGAGTTTTATAGGAAACCTACCTGACTTCCATGGCCCGCTGGCAGAAAATTGAAAGATTAAGAGAGGCGCTTTTCCCCTTAGTCTCCCCAAAGTGCCAGCTAAGCCTAGCACAGTTTGTAAAGATGCTTGGTCTGTGGCGTAAATGAACGAACAAGTAAATGATAAGGCTTTTTAAAATGCCAACAAAAGAAAAAATGCCATACTAAATGATGCTGAGCTAAAATGTTCAAGAGCATCCACCACCTATCAGAACCTGAATTCCTGTTAAAGGTATTGTCTTTGCTTCTCAGTCTTCTGGTAGACTTTTCACAGCATGCGAGCTATATCTTAGTAATGGAAGTAAGTGGAGAAAAGAAAATATGTCTTAGATACAATTGAATTTTTAAAAATGTCTGGTCTGGGGCAAAGGATAAGCTCTACAATCAATTAGCCTCTCCGTTATTCCTAGTAATTTCTAATTATGTGTGCATATGTATGGATAGGTACTTTTTATTTTCTATTTTCAAAACTAATACATGATCACTGTAAAACACATTTAGTAACACAAAACTACGTCAAGTAAAAAGTCTCTTGTAAAACTAAGCTACAAACGACAGAGCTTAATATACAGGAATGCGCATTCTATTTAATGGCATTTTACAGACAGACATGTTCAAAAATAAACGGACCTTCCTTTTTCACAGAATAGTGTATCATGAGAACTTAACTGAAGAACAAGCAACATCAAACCTGAGGTGTGAGCTCGCGGGCCGTCTTCACGGACGCCTGGATGCCCTCCACGGTGGATTTGTTGGCAGTTCCAACAGCAGCCGCCTTCTCTGCAGTGGCACCAAGCCTTCCGGAATGATTTTCAAAGTTAGCTGCCCTCTCATCAAATACCTTGAGAAAAAAAGCAAAGACATATAAAATAAAAAAAAGTACTTAAACAACATGGTTTGGCAACCTAAACCATAGTGCTAAGCAACTGCTCAAGCAGACTTGGGAGCTGATATCAAACGCTAGTTCACCCACTGTACAATACTGCTTGAGGTGATGGAACAATTTCTGTATTAGCCCCCAATAAAATGGTTAGAAAACAAAGACAGGGCTATGAATGTACAAATGTGCTTCACACAATTGATGGATGTATGGATTGTGATAAGAGTTGTATGAGACCCTAAGAAAATCAATGAAAAAGAAAAGAATGATGGCAACATATGTACAAATATGCCTGATATCATTGATGTATGGATTGTGAGAAGAATTGTAAGAGCCCTCAATAAAAGGATTAAAAGAAAGAAAACAAAAACAAACAAAAAACCCTAATCCATGAAACAGATAACAGTCAGATGCCAAGTCTTGGCCTTGATGTATGTCCTCAAGAGATTTCGCGATAGACATCCAGATCCAGAGTACACACTCACACACACACACATGCACACCCGTGAATTTCACTTCAACGGCTGTTGTGTTAGGTGCTGTTGAGTCGCAGTGACCCTACAGACAACAGAAGGAAACACTGCCTGGGCCTGCACCAACTTCATAATCGTCCCCGTGCTGGAGCCCGTCGTAGCCACTTTGTCAATCCATCTCATTGCGGTCTTCTGTTTACCCAGAATGTGTCTCTCTCCAGTTCAACCACCCAACGCTAGCAGGACCCAGCACTGTGTCCTCTGCAACAAACGTCACAAAACTGTGGAGACCAAATAACCCTCCTTCCCAAACAAGAACTGTCCCCTAATCTAACGAAGACAAGCAAATCTAGTCCCTGCTCAATTACTCGAGGGGATAGGTGCATTAAAAGTCAAGATTCGCCAGAGAGAATCTTAATCTAAGCTCCAGCTTCCCTGGGGTAGCAGCCCTAACATTCATGATATAAAAACTCTGCCCCTGGTCTCCTTGGGAACAATAATAACTGATGCTCAAAAGAAGGCCAGTCTCCAGTCCTCGCTTCTGAGATGACAAAGGAAAGGAGGAACCATGGTCAAAGGAGGCCACAGCCACGCTGCCTATCTGCTCCTTGCACTCTAGGTCCAGGCGTGGCCGAAGACAGGACCATGCAGAAGATCAGCTGCTTCTTGGCTCGCACAATGACTACATGGTTCGTACAGGCTATATTTTAAGAACCCAAGTGGGGCTTAACAAGCACAGGATTTAAAAAAAAAGAAAAACTCTCTGGCATCGAGTCAACGTCAACTCATAGAAAATGTTTGGAGAAATGCGCCCAATTCCTTCACATAAAAATAAGGTTTGTTATGACTGGATGATTGAATTATATGATATGTAAATTACTTGCCAATAAAACTGTTGGAAAAGGATGGGGCTTGGCCAGGGGGGGAAAAAGTTTGTAATTCGAAGTGGTAGAGCCCACAGCTCTCAGAAGTATTTCTGAAGCAATAACTTCAAGGCCTAAGTGGAGCTTCTCACGCTGTACATGAAGCTACATTTTTGTGTGAGTTGTTTATTGGGGGCTAATACCATTCACAGGCAGGGGGTCAGGCAGCGGTCACATGAAGCCCAGAAAGACCGCCCACCGCCTCCTCCAAAGCCTATGCAATGCTTAATGTAATGATATGATGATTAGAAGCTCTGGGAAAACAAACCCGAAAGAATACAGACGTTGCACATCACGAATAAAACAAAATGAGGCCTGACGCAAAAGCAAGGCGCGCCGACTTTCATGAACCCTACATGCAAAAGCATCTACTGAATGATTTGTTCTACTCTCACTGTTTTAAAAATTAACTTGTCCTTCTGTGGTTCTCTCACTGTTTTAAAAATTAACTTGTCCTTCTGTGGCTTCGTTAGGGGTTACCAAGTCGATTCCGACCGGGAACAAACTACTGCGCCATCCTCACAACGTCCTTATATTTAAGTCCATTGATGCAGCCCCTGCGTCAAGCCACCTGGTTGAGCCCTGCCTCTTCTTCGCTGCCCTCCATGATGTCCGTTCTCAGGGGCTGGTCTCTCCTGACAACAGATCCAAAGCACATGAAATAAAAGTCTTGTCGTCTTTGCCTCTATGGAGCATAACGGCTGTACTGCCAAGACAGCCTTGTGTTTGTTCCTCTGGCAGTCCATGGTACATTCAGTACCCTTCACCAGCACCACACTAACGCACATCGATTCTTCCTCAGTCTTCCTTATTCAATGTCTAACTTTCACAACTTTTCCTTAGCCATTATTTTAGAGATTACACAAAAGTGCATACCATGAAGGGACTATTTAGCAGAGTTAACATGGCAAAAAGCTCTTCAGAATGTGTTGGGTACCATTATGAGAAATGAAGCCAGGTAGAGCAAACATCATTAGGCCAGGCTTGCACTACACACAAGAGGGTGTTGGGAACTGCCTGATCGAATCCTTCCTCTTCCTTGCCTCCTCCGGCGAGTCTACCTTGCCCTCACTGAGTGGCCAGTTCTGGCTCTTGACAGTCTTTAAAGATCACTCGTAAGCAGGTTCCATTCTCCGTGTGAATTCTGCATCTCTCCCTTCAAGCCTCTTCTTCCTCGTCGTGTCCTCTTGTTTGTAGTCAACTACTCTGGCTCTTGCTAAGTGATGCTCGGAATCTCTGCTTAAATCCTGAGCTCCGATTTCCCTTCTCCTGACCTTGCTCCTTGTTCCTTACCTTTGCTGGTCTCACACCTTCAGAACCAAAGTTCCTACCTATCACGGCTGGCTATGTAGACCCTAGACCATGTCTGCTTTTGCTGTTGCTGTTGCTGTCTGTTTCTGTTTCTTTTCTTTTGCTTGTCCCTCATTTATCTTTCTCTATGACTATGTGTATGTGTAGGGTTGTTGTCGTTGCTCTGAATCTGAAGATGGCGATTTGTGTTTTTGCATTTGTTGGTGTTCTTGTCCTAGTCAAGCACTATCTATATCTATATATTTATATTTCTATTTGCTTGTTGTGATTGCGTTAGACACTGATATTATGGGAGATAAGGAAAGTCACTTAACCTATCCAGAAGCCAAGAATAACAAAATAGGCCAAGAGACAGAAAAAACGAACACATGGAAGGACAAAAGGAAAGAGTATGTGGAAAACTATAAACTAGGAGCTTCGATATTACTGGCGATGAAGTAACGAAGCAGGAATTTGTGAGGAAATGGGTATAGACAAAGAATTAGAATAGCAGAGTGTGCCTTTTATTTTTACAATACTGGCGACCTCATAACAGATTTAAGGAAGACCAAACAGGAAGGATGACCTGAACCAGAATTGTGGCAGCAGGTATTGAAAACGAGAAAGATTCAAGAATATCTGGATGAGCGAATGAGCAGGGACTGAGATCACTGTTGTGGTGGGGAGGGAAGGACATGGAAAAGTCGATGGTGACTCCCTGGTTTCCCAGAGAGCAAGGGAGCAATAACACATGTTCGGTGTCTAGGAAGCATTAGAACCGCCAAGTAACGTCCGCCGGGGAAGAAAACTGAGGTCAGCAGCAAATAATAGACCTGCACCCACCAGTTCTGCACGACCTTCTGTGCCTGCCTCAGCAAGTGCCCCCACGCCTTTTCTCTTTTGCTGCCACATTCTGAAAAACCAAATACTTGCTTTTCTAAAATCCTTTCTAGCTAAAAATAGCCATGCGACATACTTCCGAATAGGAGGCATACACAGCGGTTCCAAACAGTGAGACCCAAGGAGAGAAGCCTGCATTTTCTCTCATTCATTCAGCACTTATTCAATGTGCACCAAGTAGCAGGCTGGCACTGCTCTAGGGACTATGACCAAGTAGTGACTAAACAAACCTCTTGCCCTCACGGAATGCTTATACTAAGGGAAAGGAAATACATAAGCAATCGCAGCAACAGTCAAACAAAACCCCAAACAGGTAAATATGAAGGAAACTTTCATGGAAAATAAATTAAAAGATAATGGAATTAAAAAAAATTTTTTTTTGGAATTTTCACATACATTGCATATCAAATATTGATAAATGCTAAGGAGAAAAACAAGATGTGGGGAGAAGGGAGTGTGTGGGGTTAGAGTAGAGCTCCTAGTTGAAATAAGCGAGTAATGCACAGAGTTATCTGTGGGAGCACCACAAAAAATAGCAAATACAAAGGCTGCTGGACCTTTGTACTTTTAGCTAGCCCTTCGTACTTTGTACTGCTAGACCTCTGTACTTCTACCTTTGTACGGACTGAGTATATTAAGGAAGACTAGGTGTGGGGAAGTGAAATTTCTTAATCTTGTTCTTCTATCCATGACTTTGTAACTCCCACCAGTGACTGGGTGGAACTACGCATATAGGGTATGTGAAACACTAATAAAGGGGTTAACGGGTATCAGAACGAGGTATCTTAATAGCAAGAGGAAAGAATTCCCAGGACCATCAAGGAAGAAAAATGACCAGGGTTTGAGAGCTCTGCCTGAAATGGCAGAGGTCGAGAGCAGAAGCAGCAGAGGCTGCTGCGTGGAGACCATGGGACAGAACAAAGGAGCTAGGCTGAGGCAGAGCCAAGGGGTTGCATGGCTAAGACCACTGGACAGTAAGGTGTCTTGGCAGGCAGACTCTGAGGCCTGCAGAGGCCAAGGTACCATGTAGTTGAGAGACTGAGGAGTGGACACAGACTTGACTGCTGGCAGAGAAGAGGTGTGGACAAGACGATATATATATATATATATAGTCATATATATATATATAGTCATATATATATATGTCTATATCCTCGATGTTTTCGGATCCTGATTTGTGGTAACCTGTTAACTCCTGAATAAACCTCCTTAATCATGAGTATCATCTGTAAGTTCTGTGTCACTACTGGAATGAACTGTCACACCCAGCAGAGCAGTAAGTGCTGTGGGAATAACACTTGATATCAAGCTAGGGTAGGAGGAAGGGAGAGGGTGGAGGCTTGGCTAACCTCTGCCTTGTGTCTATCAGCCACGGGCTGGTGTGGCGTTGGGTAGCCAGAGGAGGTCAGTAGGAATACGGTACAAGGGGATAAATGTATATAGAGGATCAGCAGGAAGATCAGCAGTACCATGTAAGGTCAGACATGGAGACGGAAGGGCATTTTGCAGGGTCTTGTTCATGATGTGCTGGAGCCAGCAGAAGAAATGTTAAAAGTGCAGCTACTCACCTCTTCCCTATTAGGTGCATCAGGAGGGGCAGTGGCTGCCACGGCCAACAGCTTGATGGGCGTTGTGGTATCACTGAAGACGTCCGAAACCTCCTGGGTCATGGCCTCCTGCATCTGGGCTTTCAGATCCTTAAAAACATTGTTTGAAAATGAAAATGTCCAGCAATATCCAGTAAGCACAGCTACTGATGTCCTCGCTTCACGGATACGTTCTTTCATTTGTTTAGTCTTTCAGTATGCCTGAGTGCCAAATGTGTACAGAGTACAGGCTAGTGTCGAGTAAGCGTCCTCTAGGAGGGGAAAGACATGACCTACATTTTCCTAAAGACGGTTGTAGCCAAGCAAGGAATCTTACTTTCTTTCTTAGGGACCTGGGGGTTGAGCTCAAAGTAGGCTCTGAGACTCACCATTCCCAACGCTGGCAGGGCTTGCTCAGTAAAGCCCACTGTCCCTGTCAGGAGTTTGGTAGAAACAGTAGCAACACATTTCTAAGCAATTTATTATCTTAAGAGGAACGAAATCAAGAATACAATTTGTTTTTAATCCAAATTTTCTTAATTAAGCTTCTAGAAAATTGGATAAACTACACAGACACACATATGTGTGTATATATATGTATGTATGTATGTGTATATATATATGTATGTATGTATGTGTGTGTGTGTAATTCTCAGAAGCCACTGAACAGTTCTTATCTTCCACTGCCACATAGAAGATTTTAATCCCTATCAACCTTATATAGGTTTCTGAGACTGAAAATCTTAACAGAAGCAGACCACCTCATCTTTGTCTCAAGGAGCCGCTGGTTGGGTTTGCACTGCTGACCTTGAGGCTAACAGTCCAACACTGAAGCAACTGCACCACCAGGGTTCCCTCTGAGTTACGTTTTCTGGATTTAGACAAGGGAGCCCTGGTGGCACCGTGGGCCGCTAACACAGGTGTTGGCAGCTTACACTCAGTGACTGCTCCACGGGGAAGGATGAGGCAGTCTGCTCCCATAGAGAGTCAAAACTTCAAAACCCCTCCTCTGTCCTGGAGGGTCACCTTGAGTTGGAATCAACTTGACAGTAGTAGGCTTAGTGATTACACCTGTGCAAGGAGGTCTAGCACCTCAAATGTCTAATGTTTCTCATGGTGGTGGCATGTCCCGGCTGGTGGTACCTGACATGTTCATATGTGCTGCATAGGCAAAATGTTTTTGCCCTATTAATTATGAGCTTCTTTTAGTGAATATGCAAAAATATATAAGTCCGTAGTTTCAAAAGTTATTTCTGTTTACTCTTTAAAAATTATTTAAATTTGAAAAACAAAACAAAAAGGATTAAATTTTAAGAAAATATTGACTAGATAAAAGTATAAGCACTAGGAGAATAGAGCAATAGCTGTAATTGCTACCACCCCCTATTGAGTTTTTTCCTAATAAGCCTAGATTGCCTTGTATCTTCGGACACACTCGGTAATCTCCCTAGAGTCGGGAAAATTATACATTTTTCAAAACTCCCTCTCCCTCCTATAGTGTAATGACATATGCTTCTGAGTTCTACCTTTAAGGAATCTTGGAGCTGAGACGCAAGTGCTCTCGCCTGAGGACTGTCCCCTTCCCCTCTGGCAGCCAGGTCAGTCAGCTGGGCTGTCAACTGGTCCACTCGATCACACTTTGCAAGGAGATCTTGACGATAGGGCCCCATCATGACATTAGCTAGACGATGCCCTTCGGCCACAAGTCCCCGGATGGCAGCCTGACCTGGACCAAGAGAAAAATCATTAAAATTCACAGAATTCAGAGAAGGACTACTAGAAAATAGTCCCAACTTTCAATGTCAACAGGAGAACTTTCTACTTGTTCAAAACAAAGTCACTCGTTCTCTAATTACTTCTTGATTAAAGGCAGCTTTACTGGTTACATGCAATGAAAAAGGAAAGTGCCTTACTCTCTAGAGACTACAGCACATTTTCAGCATATACTTATAGATAGTCTAGAATCCCTATGAATAGTCTACTTCTCTTCAGAGAGACAAGTTTAAATTAAGGCTAAAGGTTCTGATGTCCTTACCTACGCCCCGGTCGTCCACTGTGGGATTATCAATCCACCGCTGGGCTTGCTCAATCTTGCCCTCCAGGTGGACAGCTGCTTTGGTGGGTCTGCTGTTGGCCACAGCCCTATTGGTTTTGGTCTGCAGGTTCTGCAGGGCCGTGGCCACTTGTTTGGCCAGTGCCCGGGCCTCCGGGGAATCTCCTTTCCCTCTGTCAAGAAAGAACACAACCATCATGTCACACATAGACACACATGTTCAATTAGATGACTCAATTGCTTAGGACGCACCATCATTATTACTAACTGGGCTTGAAATATTTATCTATCTGGACCTTGAATAAGGGATTAATTATTTAAATTCAGATTGCCCTGTCCCACTTAAGATATTAAACATCAGTTTAACGCAGCAAAGGGGCTAGGTTAGCTGAATCCCTCGGTTGGCTCTGTCTGAAAAACACAGTTTCCCATAGCTCTTCCTACTGATGTGGGTCCAGGCAGCCATGTTTGTTGTTGCTACAAGAGTTGGCAGTATTTATAACAGAAGAGCAGTCAGGCTGTCTTCTGAGTTCTGATTCTGCCGGGTACAGGTGCAGGTAGTTTCTTGTAGGAACTCATTTAACACTCAAAACCTCTCCTGGTAAAAAACCACACCAAAAACACCTTTCTTCTTCCATGCACTCATTTAATCCACACAAGAATCCTACGAGGTCAATGTCAATAATACCCTGTGTTTAAATACAAAACCGAGGCATTAAAAGGTTGGCTAATTTGTTCAAAGCCCCATCACTTACTGTGTGGAGTCAGAACTGAACCCAGGCACTCTCGACTTTAAAGCCCCCACTTACATGTACACACACACACACACACACTCTCTCTCTCTCTCTCTCTCTCTCTCTCATATAAATACACTTATGATATATACATATATAAACTTATTATATACATATTCTTATAATGATAGCCTAGAAACGCCAGTCCTTGCCACAGCTAATCGGACTGGGTTATTACCTAACTCAAAGGCAGCAGAACCACATTCATTCGATGCTAGCGGTTCTCAAAGTTCAATGTGCACAGAAATCACCAAGAATCTTCTTATTTTCAAATGCAGATATTACACCTAGCATCAAAATGCATAATCTGATTCCATATGTGGGGGTTGGAGGCCTAAGAATCTGTATCTCTAACAACCTTAGGTAATTCCGAGGTAGGTGGTCCTAGGTGTATAATTCAAAAGTCCTGAAAAACCTACCAGTGGTGGCACAGAGCCGGCAGTCCATATTTAAGCCAAGGCCCTAGTAGGTCAAAGCCAGATGAAGAAGTCCCACATAAAATCAACACACATAATCAAACAGAGGACATCACACAATTGCTTGGCGATAGATGACGGGACTGTCAGTTGTCACAAGGCCTGGTCACACTTCAAGTTGTTGAGTTCCAATAGATAATATATCATTCAACAGACCCTCATTTTTGCTTAAGCTAGCTCCTTACTACCAAAAAAATTCAAGAATGCAAGCACAGAAATAAAAAGACAACTATAATTAAATCACAATTGGGAAATAAATGCCCCAAAAATCTTATTCCAAAGACTTTCGATTCTAACCATATAAGCATACAAAGAGTCTGACTCTTTACATCTTTGGTCCATTCAGTTATGTAAAAGCAATCTCTAGAATAACATCATCAACCCCACTATAAAAATGAAATTACTAGTCTACCTGCCAAAAATGACCAACATTGGTACTCATAAGAGTTCTTTTAAGTTCTATAACCTTCTTCATTATGAAGCTGGTGAAAGAGGGTTTTCATATTGACCATGGCTTGTTACCAGGACGTTACACACACACAAAGTGGTACCCACCCGCCCCACCCCCCAAAAAGGAAAAAAGGAAAAAGGCACCACTGGGCGGAGCTTTCGTAGCATGTGTTTTTCCTGCGAAATGAGCATCAAGCACCTCGCTCTGAGTCAGTGCACCCAGTGGCGTCGCCTGGAAAGGTTCTGCATAGTTGCAGTGAATTTTTTCGTAAAACCAGTTTCGCTCGAACCTCAGTTTTTGTGATGGCCGATTTAATAGCGTGGGGCTGTAAAATTTTGTTTCCTGTTTGTGAAAAATGTAGCATAAACTGTTGTGATGGTGGCAAGACACGGTGCTATTTTTACGATCCCGAAAGCAAATAACAATCAAGTCAGTGGAAGATGTCATCGTCACCTTGCTGAAAAAATGCTCAACAAGTGAAATCAGAGATCCAGACAAATGAACATTTGTTTTTTGATGTGTGGAAAATAGTGCATTTGGAGTTCATCCCACCAGGTCAGATTGTTAGTCAAGCTTTCTAATGAGTGGTTCTGAAAAGATTGCATAACAGTGTGTGACAAAAAAGCCTGATTTGTGGCAGATGGGGGACTGGTTTTGCCACCATGACAAACAATGCACCTGTTCATGCAGCGATATCAGTGTGCCAGTTTTTGGCAAAACCCAGCATACCCCTCTTGCCCCACACACCCTACTCATCTGACCTCACTACATGAGACTCCTTTTTGTTTCCAAGAATGCAGACAAGCATGAAGGGACAGTGATTTGACAATGTAGAAGAGGTGAAGAAAAAAACAAGGAGGTGCTATTAGCCATCCAAACAGATGAGTTTGAAAAATGTTTCCAAGAATGGAATCACAGATTTGACAAATGTATTAAGTGTAATGGTGAGTACTTTCAAAGTGATAAGGTTGCTTTGTAAAAAAAAATTTTAATGCATAGCTTTGAAAAAAATACCATTTTTTAGGGGTACCCCCTCCTATGTCACTTTATACTTAGGGCAGAATTAGTGGCATGTACATTTCCCTCTTGACTCTGTGCCACCTAGTCGCTCCTTGACAGGTACACACATTTTAAGGCACCTGAAAATGCTGTATTGGCAGGAACATGGAAATACTGCAAGAAAAGCAATTTGCAAGTAATACACAGGAACCCAGAAATATACTTACAAAGAATCTCTCCTAGTCAGAAAGCCAAAAGTTTCATTGTGACCACTAAGAAAGCACTTCAAAAATGTGCACAGAAGAAGGAAGAAACAAGGTAGACTCAACCCAAGAACGCAACTTAACACAAATAATAGGTAACAGTCATTTTAAAAGTCAATGAAATTGTAAGACACTTAAAAATAAAAGGTTTCACAAAATCACAGCTCCAGATTGTAGCACCTCATACAATAGCCTGTAAAAACAGTAATTTGTGTCACATGCGTACTTAGTCCATTTATAGGTTTCTTCCTGAAGGCTGCGTGCACTGTCAGTAAAACAACAGCTGCCCAATAAACCCCACACAAGAAAGATGCAGGTGGGTGCTGTCAGTCTCGCAGGACATGAGAGGCTGAAAGCGAACAACTTAAGTCACAGGCAACACTTATGAGTTAATATTAACAAAATTAGACAATTATGTAGATCACTATATTTTTAAATGCTTACATTTTACATTTTCTCCATTTAAATCATCCAAGGTTGGAGGTATAGAGTATTGATTCTCCAATGATTGAGCTTGCTATACAAACTGTTATCATGTTCTTCATTCTACTTGGGGAGTAGTGTCTTTGGCCTTAAAAGCTGTGATCAGCCATCTAAGGTGCAACCATGGCCTCTCCCCACCCAAAGAAAAAAGATGAATGACAACAGTAAGCCACATGGGAACATTTAGTCCAATGTCCTATAGGACAACACAAACATCCACAACCCTAAGACCAGAAGAATCCATGGGACCAGCTACCACTACCAACTGCTCTGAAAAGGATCAAATTAAAAGGTTCCATGTACGAGGGAGGGGAAAAAGAGGAGCTGATACCAAGGGCTCAAGTAGAAAGAAAATGTATTGAAAATGATGACGGCAACATATGTACAAATGTGTTTGATATAACTGATGTATAGATTGTTTGTTATAAGGGCTCTAAAAGAAAGAGAGGGAGAGAAGAAGAGAGAAGGTTCTGTGTAAACGGGAGTGGGGTGTGGCACAGATGTGGAACAAAACACAATGCTAAAAGAAACCAAGGTGGGGTCCCTGACACTATGACCCTGAGCCACCGTTCCGGTGTCAAATGGAACTCACCTCTGTGGTAGAACAGTCAACCACTGAAGAGCAAAAGGGCAGAACTGACCCATGGGCAAGGAAACACAGGGAGAGAGTGCAGTAAGTGACTGTCCATTGAGGGCATTGCAATGGAGAAGTTGAAACACAATGAATGATACTAATTAGTGAATGTGCACAGTATTGCTGTCGATAGGCATCACTGAGTTAGTTCCGACTCAGAGCACCCTGTGAACCGCGGGCTGTGACAGGTCCGCTCCAGCCTCACAAGGGTTCTCGTCTGAGCCACGGCTGCAGCCGCTGTGTCAGTGCAGCTTGTCGAGGGGCTTCCTTTTTTTTTTAATTTCAGGAAAACCATTTTATTGGCATATAATTTACAAACCATATCTTTCAATAAGAGTAGCACAATTTCTTTTTCTCAACGGTGTTTTAAATTCTATACCACTGGCTAAATTAATGACACTGTTAATAAAATTATCTTATGTCCCAGGGGGATGATTGATAATCTTCTCTCATAGATTTATGAATAAATTTAGGGCTCACACTTAGTTCTAGCCTCAATCTAAGAACAATTAGTTCTTATGACATGGCCCTGCATGATGATCACCCTCATAAAGGGATCACTGAAACAAAAAAAAATTTGAGTTGTTATTTACATTGATCCCCTTCACCAAAGTCTCCTCCCTAAAATATATCTACTCTGCTTCCACGAAATCACAGTCCTACACAGGAGTTTACTTTCTCAGGCAACATTGCCCTTTTACTCAATATAAGACTTAAAACAACTCAAAATGCCCGTCACTGGAAACATGCAAGTTTAATGAAAGGTAGTATCTCACAATATACTTGACTCTGATTATTCATGGAGTGTATTAGTCTGGGTACATTAGAGAAACAAATCCACAGAAATTCATATGTATAAGATACGTAAGTGCACATCAAGAAAACTTCCCAACCCAGTGCTGGCCAAACCCACAAGTCCAACATTAACCCATATGTCCAACACCAATCCACAAAGTCCTCCATCTCACAAAACACACACTGTGATGCCGACTGCAGGAGGAAAGCAAGGTCAGTGAACGTGTAAGCATCTCAGTGCTGACAGGGGTCTCCACTCGGCTGCTCCAGCACCCACCTGGGTGCACTGGGGTAGGTCCATGCGGCTTCTCCTTGGGGATGTCTTGCAGGAAGTCAGCCTTGCCAGCTGAAGCAGGGAACTGGCTAAGGCAGCTGCACCCTGGTCCGACTATCACAAAGCAAGAGACCCGAGAATTCGAAAGGCGAGGCTCACCGAGCGATTTATCTCTCTGCCCATCAATTAAACCCACATGTGTTTATCGGCCAGGTTGGCACAATAAACTAACTACCTCATGGAGAATGGGATTGGAGGATTGATGTGGAAAGAAAGTAACTTTTACTTTGTATTGTACCCTTTCTTCATGTTGGAGTTGTTTTTGTTTGTTTGTTTGTTTGTTTGTGAGGTTCTTAAAGAGAAAAAAGTTATAGCAACACCTACAGCAACAAAAAGAAAGCAACACCCTTTTTTCCCAAATAACCAAAGCTGGAGCCATGAAATCTTTAAAAGATGCAGCTGTGTTAAGTAAGCTGTTAAAGGAATAATCACCCAGAATTGTAATTTAAAGATCTCTTATAATTGCTATTTAAAAAATGACATTGCTGGGAAGGAAGAAAGTGCCGTATCAAGACTAACACACACACACACACCTGTATTTTCATAATTAGCCACAAAAGTTATATTTTTCATCTGTCTGGAGAACAGATATGACACAAACATGATGTGGCAGAAAGTCCTACCTTAAACTTTCTCCTTAAATATCAAAAATTTAGTTATAAGCATCATTTTCCTATTAATTTAAAACTATATGACCAACAATAAATCAGTAAGTCTCGGTTATGCCATTTATTAAAAAGTTAATACCTAATCAAGTCATATCACACAGAATCCCTGAAAACGAGGGGAGAAACATCATCCATCCATGGACCAACAGGACCTTCGGGAGTACATTGTGCTTAAGTTAATGAGAGGGCGATTGCTTGATTGACAGGGAATTTAAAGAAGCAAATACATACTGTCTTCGTAGATCCGCCAATTTCGAAGTCAGGGCAGCGATTTCTCCCAGGGAACGCAAAATGTCATCTCTTTCTTTAGGATCATCACACAATTCTGCTATTTTCCGGGCTTCAGTCAAAGCCCCTCGGATTTGTTCTTCTCCTTCGGGTCCACCATTTGGATCTGCAAGCCAATTCTACACAGATTGAAAAGGAGATGAAACAAATGGAGATGGACGAATAAAACCCACTTCACAAAGCTTTAAAAGGCCACCAGAAATAGTTCCAAAGGATGACAAGGCACAGTGTCAAACATTTTCAGAATGAGGACCCTTATTGTTTTACACAGGTTCTTGGCTGAAGTAAGATCCATCCAATTCCTTATCATTTCAATAACAATCTGTTTTCACCTTCTTTAGCGTAAGATAGCTTCACAAGATTTGTCTCATCTTTGAATAAATCACACCTTATTAATTCTGTCATCTCAAAAACATTCCTGTTTCTATATGAAATGCTTGAAAATCATCTTCTAGAAGGCTAAAATAAGAAAAGTTTAACTCTTTGAACAAATGTTATGTGCTCTGAGATGAGGAACAGTTTTAATATGCTATAATTTGTCCCAGAAACTAAGATTCTCTTGGTACCCAATGTTCTCATTTTTAACTAATCAAAGTATTCAAAATCAACATAATTACTTCCCCCAAAAAAGCATTCGTCTAAACCTGTGGCAGTTGGTAACATGGTGACTGCTGAGAATCAGGCATCACCCAGAAACACCTATTATCCACCCACAGCTATTGTCTCAAAAATAAATTCCTTTTTCTTCCCTGTACATGACAGTCAAAGATGGCGGGCGGGCGGGCCCCAGGCTACTGATGAGCCCACCGGTCTTTCTCGTGTTCCCACGCCCTCCGGAGCATCCCAGCAGTACCTGCGCAGCATCCATCTTCTTGGCGATGCTCTGCTTCGAGTCGGTCATCGCTTCCAGCTTACGGGCTGCGTTTTCCACTTTCGCTGTGAGCACATCCAGACCCTGCGACACTTGCTGGGCTTTCTGCATGGCCACTGGCGACGAGCCTTGTCCTCTACTCAAAACAGACAGATGCAGACTGACACTGTACTTTTCAAATACTTACTCGCAAGAGATTCCTAAGGGCAGGGTACATATCATTTCTGTTAACATGCTTGCCTTACGTTGGTCTGGTTTTTTTTATCTTTCCATGTAAATATGGGAAAGCGTAAGAAAACAGAGATAACCAAAGGAGATACTCAAAGCCTTGATTTTCTCCTTGGCTTTTTAAAATACACATGACCTTCATAGAAGTGTACAAGCACTACGAGGACCAGGTCTGCACATTTTGATAATAATGATTCTCTTCTTGGTGGGGACTCCAGGAGAGAAATGTGCGTGTGATCTTATTGCTATGGAGAGCTCTGTTGCCATAGTCATGTGTGCTTTAGAAGCAACCCATTAGAATATCTTATTTCCTGGTAATAAATATTGCAAGTGCTTCAGGGGGCAGCACACAGTGATTTTGAAGGCAGACCCAGCAGGTCTGTCCCAATCCTGGCTCCTAGCACCTGGGCGCCTTCGTGACGCTGTTGGCCCCTCACTGAGCTCGTCTTCCAGCAGGTGAAAAAGAGTAACAAGACCTGCCCTTGCCCTGCTCACCTCGCTGCTCCTTGGAGGACCAAGATAATAAACACACACTTGAAAATGTGTTGGCAATAAAGACATACAAACAGATAGCCAATTTATATTACGGAATTATCAACATTACCACAGTTCTGATTCTAATGATAATTTTCATTAGGAAGTGCAAGTAGCCATCTTCCACTCCTAAGCAATCTAGAAACATCAAGCCAGTTTAACTGAGGAAAAGCAAATGGGCACAAGAAACTTGTTTTCCATCAAGTTCCTAGTTTCCCCTCTGAGAAGTGGTATACAACATTACCAATATTCGGGTGAACCAGAGGAAACTTGTTTTCCCCATGAAAGAGATGTGCCAGGTAATATGTGCTATATAAGTTCAGATCATTTTTATCCATCCAGACTGCTAAGGACTATGATGGGGCATGGAAACTTTTATTAATTGGTAGAATGGCATAGTTGATCATCCTAATCTGAACTTTCAGTTTTACAGTGAGCTCTAAGAAATCTTTATTTCTCTAACTAATATTAATCTGTCATTAATTCACTTACTCTTTTTAAGTTCACCTGCTTTTTATCTAGACCAATCTTGAGGTACAGAAACCAGCATCACAGAGTTCTACCAGTATCACTGCACAGGAATCCAGGGCTGGGGCACAGAGTGACATGCTACAGCTGTTAGCTTGAGTGCACACAGAGGTTCCTCAGCAGAAAGGCCGAGTGATCTACTTCCAAGCAGAGAAAAGGTCACCTTCTGAAAGCTCCCAGGAGCACAGTCCTCTCAGACACACAGGGGTCCCCAAGGGTCGTAACCAACTCAAGAGGAATGGGTTTGGTTATAGGTCGGAAGGGAGGTCAAAAAGTTTTGGTGTATAATCACAGAAACTTTTACTACACAAAAGTAACAAAATGTGCTATTGTTCCTTGACATGTCCTCCATCTAGAGCCAGAGGTTTCTGGAGGCGGAGTTTTCATGTCTCTAACCTTCCCTGGAGAATGCCATGCTTTTTGATTTGCACCATGCGAACAGCGGTGGCATCCTCGAAGGGCTCAAATCACGACCCTTCCCAATGCTCTCTGAGTTCGGGGAATAAAAATAAGCCTGAAGGGGCAACATCAGGGCTGCTGGGGAGATGGGGTAAGGTTTCCCAATGTTCATTCCCACGCAGGGCCTTGGGTGCTCTTGAAGAGTAAGCAGGGGTGCTGTCATAACGGGAAAAAGACCCCTCCATGCACGTGTCCTGGCCTGTGTGTCAGTAATGCAATTTTCCATTTCTTAAGAGGTCCTCAAAAGCCCCCACCAACTTCCTGTGCCCTTCGAGAACATCTAGAAAGACTGTCCTTTTGAAATAAAAATTAACACAAAAAACAAAAACACCTCTCCATAACCTGATCAGACCACTCCACTTTGAATTTCACTGGCCCAGCAGATCCCCCTGGGAGCCCATTGTTTTGATTAAACTTTGTGTTTTGGGGGGAAAGGCACCTGAAGGAGACTGAGACACGTGTGTTACTGAGGGAACTTGTCTGCACCTGTCCACGAAGAGCAGAGACATGCTTAAATAAGTTTTGTTTACAATAAACCCATGTACGTACAAACTAGAACCCTAATAGGTATTGAAAGGTATAGAAAGTACTATATGTTTCTTTTGTACTTGAGACCATGTATTAGTGGAAAGGAAAATCTCTGGAAAATATATTCTCTAAGATTTAATTTGCATTTTCCATTCAAACCTCATAGTTCATGATGAGGAACACTGACATAAGAGATCAATCATGAAAAAGTAAAAATCTATACGGGTTGTAAAGCTTTCTCAATAAAAAGTTTGAGTCCCATAGGGAACCAATATATACTTAAAAACGAAAAGCCTAAAACTGAAAATTTAAAGTAATGACAAAATAGAAGACTTACAGAATATATGATAGAGGTATTTCTTGAAAGGATAAAAGATTATTATTTTTTATAAAAAAGAGCCAAATGTCTTTCTCAATAAAATTGGAGGAATAAATATTCTCATGTGAAAAAAACAAAAATACTAAAAGCCTTACTTCACTAAATAAAAGAATATCAATGAAGAAAAGGTTACTGATTTTTCCGAATTAACACGTTACAAAGCTGAGCACATTTAAGAAGGATTTCCAGGGGGACGGCTTTCCAATTTTTCACTGTGAACAGATGCAGGCCCCTGGCTGCTCATCACCATTCCCTCGTTTTCCCTTTGTAGACTAATGGTCGCTAACATACAGTAACGACCTTGTCTTGCGCATGTTTATCTTTCTCTGAACAAATACAATGTGTGTTTGAGAAGCCAAGTGCAAATTGTCTACCACACTGTGTCAAGGCTGTGGAGAAAAGAGCCAGCCCTGAAAAATGAGAAGACTCTAATCAAACGCCACTGCATTTCTGCCAACAGGCACGGCACTTCCTTTGGTGCCCTGCTGCACAGTTCTTGTCCTGCTCCTGAGAGAGACTGCTTCCCAGCAGGATGAAAAGGCTCACTGGGCTGAATGGGATGTGTTTACTTACACTCCTCCTCCTCTCTTTAAGGGAGAAACCTTTAGCGGGAAGCCCCTGGAACTTCCAGAGCTTCGAGTTCTGTATCCTCTTGGGTGAGCATATATCTTTTGGGGTAGAGGCTAATCGCTTTCAACAGATTATAAAACTGATCTTGGTGCCAAAAGATTAATAATCCTGTAAAATCTTAGTATTTCTTAAATCAACTATGTCAACACATTTGGCACCAGGTGTCATGGTGAGCAATACTTTGAGACAGCTCTGTTTGTATGGGTCCCTATGCATCCCAATTATTTGAAGGTGTTTCAAACATTCTCAAATCAAAATGAAACCTGGTTTATTTTAAAGTCTTCAAATTTTTTCATTAATATTCATGTCATAAAATTCTATAAAAATCAAACTCTTTCAGAAATTTATTAACTCCAAGAATGGATTCTAAGGAAAAACCGATCGCAATGATCAATGCATAACGCCCCCTACCCCCACCCTAAGGGGTGGATGAACAACAGAAACATGGGTGAAGGGAGATAGCAGGTGGTGTAAGATATGACAATAATAATAATTTATAATTTATCAAGAGGTCACAAGGGTGAGAGGGTGGGGGAGGCAGGGAAAAAAGAGGAGCTGATACCAAGGGCTCAAGCGGAAAGAAAATATTTAGAAAATGATAATAACAACATATATATAAATGTACTTTTATATATATATATATAGATAGATGTACTTGATACAAGTGATGTATGGATTGTTATAAGAGCTGGAAGAGCCCCCAATAAAGTGATTTATTTTTTAAAAGAAAAATGATTCTAAACATTTTATACTCAGATTTTTCAATACCGAGCTACACACATTGAATGTGTTAGGGAAAGTTCCAAAAGTCAAGAATTGGAAAAGGGCAAAGGGAGGAAAAGAATCAATGAACGCAAATGTCTAATGATGGAATAAAGCTCAAAGTACCTGAGAGGGCATGAACGAAGGGGCTAGCCATATAACTGACTTAAATTGACAGATCAAATAATCCCAGGTTTTCACTGTTTACGCTTTTTTTAACCCCTCTTTCCTTAGAGCTATCTACCCAGGCTAGACTCTGTCACTGCCCACTATTGTTCACACGCCTCCAGCTGGGCATCACTGCCTTGGGTCCATCTGCTGCACGAGACCTCTTTAAAGTCTTGAAGACCAAGGATGTTGCTCGGCGGACTATGGCGCACCTACCCCACGCCATGGTATTTTCAACAACCTCATCTGTGTGTCAAAGCTGGACACTGAGCACAGAAGGCCAAAGAAGAGTCGATACACTAGTTATGGCACTGACAAAAACACTGAAAGCCCAGAAACTGCCCAGAGAATTCGGAGATCGATCTTGGAACAAGTACAGCCATTAGAACGCTCTTTAAATGCGAGAATGGTGAGACTTGTTCCCACGTATTTTGGACATGTTATCAGGAAAGACAGTCCCTCAAAAGAGGGCATCCTGCTTGGTGGGGAGGTGGCAACAAAGAGGACAGACTGGCATGGTGGCTCCCACAATGGGTTCAAACTAAGGTGACCAGATTTAAAGCGGGATACCACTGACCGTGGGTGGGGTGGGGGGGATTCTTGATTAAAAATTTGGTCAATATGGACCAAATAGATCGTTCCCTAGCTTGTCATGCATTCTTTCCAAAAATCGGGACTTTTTAAAAACGCCAAAAAACGGGACGGTCTGGTCCCCTTAGTTCAAACAGAACAACAATGGTGAGGCTGGCACAGCACTGGGCGGTGCTTCTTTTTGTTGTGCAAACAGTTGCTGTGAGTCAACCATCCGGATGGCACCGAACAACACAGCTAGAAAGTGAAAAACTTTCAAGTTCATTACACAGTATTTTCACATCTTAGCACTTTCAGCGAAGGAAAAGTTTACCTCTATCTCAAACGAATTCATAAAATATTATCTACTCACTGAAAGGACAATTCAGTAAGATTGCCAGAGACTTGTTTTCTAAATCACCCCGTTAGGAATGAGACCCTGCATGTTATCGGCAGTGGCTCCGTAAGAGCAGGGTTGCTTTACCTGGCTCGGAGGTCGGCCACCTGATCGGTCATCTGCCCTAGCATTTTGCAGGTGCCCAGGATCTCTCGGCGCTCTTTGCCGGCACACAGTTCACCGACTTTCCCAGCTTCATCTAAGATCTGTCTGATGGCCTGCTCACCAGCATCTCCTAAAAGGAAAAGAGAGATTCCATGTCTACCTTGCTGACAGGTTCATTATTTAGAGAGGGTACTTTACAGGTTCCATTATGAAGGAACACAGGATTTTAAACAAGAGAGTGAACAGAAAGCAGGACATCTGATAGCTCACAGCCAAACCGAGCCCTGACGAACACAGGGTGAGGTTTCAACCACAGACGCTGCTAAGAAAGACCCTGGGAACCCTATCTAACTGACAAGTCTAAGCATCTTGTGGTAAAATGATAGATGATGGAAATAGACTCTAATAATTTCATGGTACTTAGCACCTCCAACCCTTTTACACTCATTCAAATATTAATCGAATGATGAATGAATATTAGATGAGAAAATCTATAAGCCGAGTTCAATAAGCCATTTGGGGATTATCTGTACACAGTCAACTTTGCTTTCCAATCCTTATAGGTATCATCATTTAATCTGCTTAATTAAGTACTTCATTGGCATAAATGGAAGCCTGCCCAATGGGAATGAGAAGAGGGAAGCTTCGATTCAAAGGAGTTATCTTTATGAACCACTATGCTTACAAAGAATGCCCAGCTCAGCTTGGCTTCTTCCTCCATGATGAAAGATCATACAGTCTATGCCTTCCAGTCATTTTAAGGCCCAGCAATGCTGCACAAGCTAAAAGTATCAGAAAATGGGGTCTGGGGTATGCTCCAAAATGTTAAAGTATTTATCACAGGATTATGAGATGATAAAATAATCAATCCCTTCCTTTTCCGGCTTTTATTTCGTTTGCCTGGTTTTGTCACTGGTGCTGTATAAATCATGAGGATTACCTGGAGAGGCACTGGGGTCCCGCAGCCAGCCTTTGGCCTGGTTCAGTTTGGAGTCTATGGAGGCCAATGCTCGCTTCATGGCTTCCGTGTCCTTCAAAAGAAATTCTCCCAGTGACTGGTTTTGTCAAAATTGTGATACCATGATGCAAAGTGAGTCACAGCATTAACAGTCACTAGTCCTGCAATAGAGCCTTGAAGATATTCTCATCACATCACAACTCTCATTTCTGTCAAAATGCATCCGCTTGCATGCAAATCTTTGGTTAATTCTATTCTGTTTCTTGATGTCCCGATTACTACTACAGAAACTGTTAAAATCACCCAAGCCAGACAATGTTTCATGAATCCAGACCTGTCGTCACATGCCTCGTTATCAGCCTTTCCACTGCCGGAGGCCCTGCCAAAGTCCTTCTAGCTTTGGGGAAAGTCTCATTAGTATGTGGTGCCACGAATTACAATTCTTTTACTTCTTTTTTTGTTTACATCTTGTTTTGAAACACACACAACACACACATTGGATGATGTTCCACTCTATTTAACGAATGTGGAAAACTCAGAATTAGTGGTTGGAAAAAATTGACAATGTTAATTTGGCAATTTAATTTCAATGCTACAACTAAATCGCTAAATTTAATACAAGAAAAAAAGAGCTGTTCTGGCCTTCCCTGCCTTCTTCGTGGAATTCTCGTGCCATTCCTAAACCTAGAAAAAGAGGATACATTAAGCAGGTTCCAGGTTGCTACTGCAATCAGGATTCATGATAATTACTACAAAGCCTTTGTCATCCAAGGCAAGAAGGGACAAAAGCTTCACTAAAAAATAGTGGGATATTTCCATGAAGTTTTTAAGCCCCCTCATATAACAAGCTGAAAAAACAGACTCTTATCAGAATTGAAAGACTGCCCGTCTTATAAGTATCTTTAACTTTTAAAGTCAAAGCCTTTGAACCTTTTAAAGTCAGCGCATCTCTTTTGTTCTAGAGAACTGATTCTGACAAAATCCAATCCATCATAGCCTGGAATGTCTGAAATGCTAGACAATGCTTTATAAATCCTTCTCTTTCCCAGACCCCGCAGGACGGGGCTCATTAAAGGTGTTGTGCCATCACTGTTCCACACGGGGGCACCATAGCATCCTCACAATTCATTCAGACAATTGAGCAGAAACGTGAGGAGCTGTCTTGAACCAAAGGGACTGAACCAAACCCACTGCAGCAACCCTACGGAGCACACTAGAGCCAGGAGATAGATCCCTCTGGGCTGGTCGGAACCACCACCAAGGTTCCTGAAGCACCCCGAGTTAGGCCTACTCAGCACCCTTACTCGGCTTCTCCGCCCTGTTCAAGAATCATTACAGGACTCCCAGCTTTAGGATCCCCCATCTGGACAGACAGATGCAAGGTCTGCGGTGCCGCTAAGAGCCTAAAACAGCAAATAATTCTTAGCCATAGCACTGAAGGGAGGCGACCTGAGTTACTAGGAGAAGGGGGAAAAGAAAAGAAATACAGTGGAAAGGTCAACGTTAGTCCAATTACTTTTCATTTAATTCTAAATTATGAAGGCCCAAATCAATATCCTTTTCAAGAGCAACTCAGGAAACTTCCAACTTAGGAGGATCAACTTGGTGAGTCTTCAGGGTCTTCTCAGGCATAGATTTAAAAAATCACAAGTTCTTATTTAGGTATGTATGTGCACAGATAGAGAGCAGAACTTAGGTCAATTTTTGGAATTATTTAAGACCTATTAATAGCCATTTCCCTAAAGCATTTAAATTTTCAGTGAGAAAACCAACTGATATTTATTAGATTTAAAAGACCTAAATTCAAAATCAGAAATAAAGGTCAGAAAGTATTTACTGTATGCTAACTAGTTAGGAAACCAAGTTTAATTGAGAATATTCTATATGTCCAGTTCTATTTTAGGCATTATCCCCTTGGTTAGCTCATTAAACCTCAAATGTAAATGCAATTTAATTTTACGAATTGAGAAATAAGGGATCAAAAACTTGCAGACCTGGTAAGTCCTATAATCCAATCTGACCTCAGATTTGTTGACTCCAACTATCTTTATTTTCTGTGAGCGGAAGTCAGAAATTGTTGGTGTGTTTTCCTTTAACCTAAGAGAGTCACCAACACTCCAAAACCTTTGATAACAGTCAGAAAATCTCTGCCTTGTTAATGTTGGTTTTGATGAATTCTGCCCAGAAAAGAAGCTCAAGAAATCAAATTTACAATCTCCATGAGCCTAAATGGTGCTTTTATTCTCCAGTGCCTCTAAATGATCTGAAACACAGGAGAAAGTTGGCTTTGCTCTATTTAGTAACCTCAGAAATATGTCTTTTTCTTTCCTCTCCCTTATAAAGATCAAATGGTCACCCCACTGAGAGGAAAGAAGGTGGTTCTCAGGAAGTGAGTAATTTACTCCTGAGTGGGAGATATGACAATACCGTGAAGTTACAATTAAGATGGATACTCATTTGCTCCAAAAACAATCACTGACAAACCTGGACTGAAATAGCATCTTAAATTAGAGAAGTTCAATGAGCTAACAAAAGTTTCAATAGCTTTGAATTCAGAGTTTAATTTTTAGAGAAGCTACAATAATCACTGAAAGGACCACCTTAAAATTCTTTCTGAAATACTGTAGTGCTATGGATCAAACAGTGTGTCAGAGTCATTGTCGTCTCCACCCCACCCACCCCCTTCCCCACCAAAATAGGTTGAAAATCCTAAACCCTATGTGCCTTTGGCTATAATCCCACTTGGGAATGGATTGCCTTGTTATTTCAGTCAGGCAATATTAGCGTAGATTGTTATTGGGTTTTAAATCAAACTCTTTTGAGATATAAAGACAGAAAATTGCACAAACAAAGAAGTAAGCAAACCAATATGGGGGAAGATAAATTCCATAGCACATGAAATCTACAAGGTCAACAAACAGTGGCCTTCTACTCAGGTACTCCCTCAAACACAAGAATGCTTTGTTTTAATAAACTGGCATTCCGTGATGCTCAGCTTTCTGACACGATTGCTGAAGACAAAATGGGAGCATAAGCAAATGTGGTGAGGAAAGCTGAAGGTGCCCGGCAATTACAAGATATAGCGACTGGGGTCTTAAGGCTTTACATTAAACAAGCAGCCATCTAGCAGGGATGCAACTAAGCCCACATGGAAGCAGCACACCAGCCTGTGTGATCATGAGGTGTCAACGGGATCAGGTATCAGGCATCAAAAGACCCAAAACAATCATATCCATGTGAAAGAGGGAAGAGTGCAGAGTGGAGAACCAAAGTCCATCTGTAGACAATTGGACATCCCCTTACAGAAGGGTCACAAGGAAAAGGCGAGCCAGTCAGGGTGCGGTATAACACTGATGAAACATACAAGTTTCCTCTAGTTCTTTAAAGCTCCCTGCCCCCGCTATCATGACCCCAATTCTACCTTACAAATCCAGCTAGACTAGAGATTCAGGGATTCAGATAGGGATTCAGGTAAGAGCTGGTAACACAGAGAATCCAGACAGATAACCCTCTCTGGACCAATAATGAGAGCAGTGATACCTGGAGGGCAAGGAGAAGGTGGGGGAGAAAAGGGGGACTGATCACAATGATCCACATATAACCTCCTCCCAGGGCGACGGGGAACAGAAAAGTGGGTGAAGGGAGACAGCAGTCAATGTAAGACATAAAAATAATAATAATTTATAAATTACTAGGGGTTCATGACGGAGGGAGGGGAAAAAAATGAGGAGCTGACACCAAGGGCTCAAGTAGAAAGAAAATGTTTTGAAAATGATGATGGCAACAAATGTAAAAATGTACTTGGTACAATGGATGGGCGTATGGATTGTGATAAGAGCTAAACAAGCCCCCAATAAAATGATCTTTTTAAGTAGAAGAAACAGAGCCCCAAAATAGATTAAAAACCTTCTCCCCAAACCAAAAACCCTTTCCCTAGAGCTAGCACCCTGAATTTGAGCTTCTAGTCTCTCAAACTTTGAGAAAATAGCTTTGTTTGTTAATAACATTCCCGTGTGGTATTTCTATTATAGCATCACGGGATAACTAAGCTGCGGGAGAAAGACAGGGCTGTCTACTCCAGTAAGGAATTAGTCTGGGAAACCCATCGGGACAGTTCTACCCTGTTCGACAGGGCTGCTCTGAGAGGCCCTGGACTGGAAGACAGTGAGTGAGATAACTAAGACAAGGCTATTGAAAAATAGCTTAAAGACGAGACGTTTGAATGGCATCTGTTTGAAAAATGGCGGGAGCAAGTATGTTGGTGTCCTAAGACTCTTCCAGACATTTCCATTAAATGGTAGTGTTTACCACTGTGAAAGAATGCACTACTTCTAAGTGTAAGGAGTCCACACTGGATTTGATAGAACCTAGGAATACCAAAACCCACAGCCAACATGTCAACCCCAACTCATGGCGGATTTCCAAGACTGAAACTCTTTACCAAAGCAGGTGGCTTTCAATTGAGTATACATTTTTTCTTAAAAACGTTTATTTTTTAAATGAGAAGGACGACTCCTCTGAACTCTTATCGGGTATGTTATTTTTAGAGTAAGTCTAAAAAGACCAGGTCTTGTCATGAGATCTGAAGACCTGGCAGGGATGTGGTTCCCCCCCTCCCCTATTCCCTTTTACCATAAAACTGAGCTCAATTTTTAATGAACAAATTTGAATATGTTGGTACTTTCTTCCACATTCCAAAAGGTAGAAAAGACAACCTTAAAATCCCCATTTTTTAAAACGTTTTTCTAGGAAATGAAATACTCCTAAATTTAAATGTCGACTTAGGCCTCAGGAACACCTGTAAGATAGCACTGAGCTCCCCTACAGACAGCCAAGAACTGCTGACAGAGACAAGAAAGACTGCACCCCAGCTCTAACAACAAGATATGGGAGTGAAGACCCCTCTTTCGCTTTCTAATAAACTGACCCCCTTCTGCTACCAACACTTCCCCTGCCAAAGCCAGTCCTTCCTTTTGTTGTTTAATCATTTGATTGGGGGCTCGTACAACTCTTACCACAATCCATCCATCCATCCATTGTGTCCAGCACATTTGTTGCCATCATCATTCTCAAAAC